GATGCTCAATATCATTAGTCACTAAAGAAACGAAAATCAAAGTCACAATGAGATACCACTTGATATCCACCAGAACAGCAGAGTATCAAAAAGACAGATAAATAATCAGAGAAACTGGAACCTCATGTATTGCTGGTAAGAATGTGAAATGGTATAGCTGCCCCAGGAAACAGTAACAATTTCTCAAAATGTTGAACAATGACCCAGCATTTCCACTCCTAGGAAACCAAAGATAAATGAAAACTTAAGTCATACAAAAACCTGTACTTTATAGTGTTTGTTAAAATGTAAACATGTTTGCAGTTTCTATAGTTTAATTAGCCATTCTTTTGTTTTGTGGATGTTTTTGGTGTTATATCACGGAACTCTTTACCTAATCTATGGGCACAAAGTTTTCTCCTAAGTTTTGCTTCTTACTTTTAAAAATCTATGTTCATAGAAGCCAAAATATGTAAACAAGCAATATAGCTATCAATTGATGCACAGAGAAGCCACAGAGTAGTATTTGGCAACAAAAAGCAACAGAGTACTGCTACATGTTATAACATAGATAAACTTTTAAAAACATTATGCTCAGTGAAAGAAGCCAGTCACAAAAGGCCACATGCTTTATGATTCCATTTATATGAAATGTCCAGAACAGGCAAATCTATAAAGACAGAGAACAGATTAGTGGCTGCCTAAAGCAAGGAAAAGAGGGACAGTAATGATGGTTAATGGGTGCATGGTTTCTTTTGGGATGTTTATGGTTGTACAAGTTTATAACTATACTAAAACTACTGAACTGTACACTTTACATGGGAGAACTTTATATTACTATTCCAACTCGTTCAATGAAGCCAATATTACCCAGATAACAAAAACACAAAACAAAAAACTATAGACGAATATCCCTAATGATTATACACAAAAATCTTTACAAAATGCAGACAATGTAAAAAAATTATTACATATTATGAATGAGTGGGATTTATCCAGGAACACCAAGGTTGATTCAAGATTCAGGTATTACTATATTAAAACATTAATAAAGGACAAAAACTTCATGATGATCTCAATGCACTGAAACATGACAAAATACAATATCCATTCATGATTAAAAACTTTCCAAGAACTAGAAACAGGAGGACTTTTCTTCAGCCTGATAAAGGACACTTATGAAAAACCGATAGCTAACAGCATATTTAATGGGAAGCAACTAAAAGCTTTCCCCTTAAGATTAGGAATAAGACAAGGCAGGATGTGTGCTCTTGTCATTCTAGTCAACATGGTATTAGAAGTTCTGGCCTGTACAATAAGGAGGAAGAAAGGAGGGGGGAAAAATTGAAGGTATTCAGATTTAAATGGACGCAGCAAAACTGTATTTATTTGCAGACCTCATTATCCTGTGTATAGAAAATCCCAAGGAATACATACACGAAAAACTGTGAGCACTAATAAATGAGTTCTACAAAGCTACAGGGTATCAGAACACAGAAAAACCAGCTACAGTTCTATGTACTTAGCAATAAACAATCCAAAATGATAGCAAGAAAAAGTAACATTAAAGAGAATAAAATACTGAAGAGTAAATCTAATAAAAGTAGTGTACATTTTGTACACTGAAAATTATAAGGCAATCCTAAGAAAAATTAGAGAATATCTAAAGAAACAGAAAGACATTCTAGGTCCCTGAATTGGAAGACTCAATGATACTGAGATATTAAGATAATACAGTAAGAAAGCAATTTTTCCTAAAAGACCTGTTGATCCACAATGCCTATTAAAATCTCAGCAGACTCTTTTTGGGGTAGAAATTGACCAGATCGCTCTAAATTTACATGGACATGCACAGATTCCAGAGCAGCCAGATGATTTTGAAAACAAAGTTCTAAGAGTTATCTTACTGAATTCCAACACTTACTATAAAAGCTACAGCAGTCAAGAAACATGTTACTGGCTTGAGAAGAGACAGAACAGAAATGGGAGTCCAGGACAAATCTTACATTGACTGTCAAGTGATTTTTTTTTTTAAAGATTTATTTATTTATACAAGAACCGGGGTACAGGCCAGATGCGCAGGAGGGTGAGATGATTCACCAGAGACACAGCCGGGAGCAGAACAGGCAGACTGCCGAAATACACTGCTCAGGGGAGTAGTGGGCAAGACAGGAGAGGCCTGCCTAGCCATGTGGGATCCTCGCCAGCAGGCCGGGATGGAACCAGCGCTGCAGAGGCTGCGGACAGCTTCACAGCACTGTGAAGGACAGTCTGCAAATGGTGATGGGATAACTGGACAGACACATTCAAACAAGTAAATTTAGATTTGTCCTTCATGTCATATACAAAAAAATATAAGGGGCCTTCCTGGTGGTGCAAGGGGTTAAGATGCAACCTATGAAGCTATTCATAGCCACTGCAGCATGAGTTTGATCCCCAGCCAGGAAGCAACCCACATGGTGCAGCAGACCTTTCCTGACTCGCCCGCTGCTCCCCTCAGCAGTGTATTTCAGTCAGTCTGCCTGTTCTGTTCCCCACTCTGTCTCTGGTGAATCCTCTTACCCCCCACACCTCTGGCCTGTACCCCAGTTCTTGTATGCATAAATAAATAAATATTTATATATATATATATATATATGAATATGAAGTAAAACTACAAAACGTCAAGAAAACAGGAGAAAATATAGGTACCCAAAGAGTTCTTTGGTATAATACCGAAGCCATGTTCCATGAAACATAAAATTGTTAAGTTAATCTTTATAAAAATTAAAGGTGTTTACAGAAAGACACTATTAAGAAAATGAAAAGGCAAGTTAGAGACTGGGAGAAAGATATTTGTAAATCATGACAGAGAAAGAAGTTGTACCTAGAATATTTAAAGAACTGTTACAACTCATGTAAGATGAACAACCCAATTTAAAAATGGGTGAGGATTTGAATACACAGTTCACCAAAAAAACAACAACAACAAATGGCCTAATAAGCACATAATAAGATGCGCAATATCTTTTCAACATCCTAATCTCAATTTTTGGGGAAATGCAATCAAAACCACAATAAGTTATCTTTCTAGTAATACAATGACTATAATAATATGATAAAAATGTTTAAAAATGCTCTTATCTACTACTGAGCTGGATACTTAAAAACTGTTTAAAATGGTAAATCTCATGCTATGTATATTTAACCACCACAAAAAGAATTTTTTAACCCCTTACCAACACTTTGGAAAAAAAAGTGAACAAAGCAGGGAAAAAAAAAAAACCAAAAAACCTTCCCACAAAGAAAAGACCAACTTTAGGAGGTTTCACTATGAATACTTTCAAATATTTAAAGAATACCATAATTTTATATAATCTTTTCCAGAAGGCAGGAAGAGAAGGAAACACTTCCATACACAAGCAGTGAGGTCAATTTAAATGTATATAATTAAAGGCATCATGATTTACCTTGCAGAAACTATTATTATAGTAAAAAGGATAGAAGGTGCCAGGCCAGAAATCTTGGGAACTGGGATCCAATCCAGATTTGGTATGAGGTATCAATATTTGCACATCTTTGACAAGCTACTCATCTATTTGGGCTTCAGTTTTCTCATTTGTAGAATAAGGAGGTTCACCAGAGAAATCCTTTCCATCTACAGGATAGGATTCTATTGTACAATTGTTATATAAAATTTTCTTTGAAACTCATCCATCCTAAAACTGGTATAAAAAATTCTTTTCCATGTGGAAAACAACATGGCAACAGGTAGTAAGCACCAGTTCATACTCAATGGCAAAATATTTCAACTTCTGGATATCTATCATAAGGATATGAACAAAAAAAAAAGAACACATAAAAAGATGGTTATTTTAATAACACAAATGGTTCAATAATAATGGACTAATATATACCACAAACAACACATTACCAAATAGTATAAAGATGATTGTGGAAAATACTTTTGTTAGGTGCAAATAATCAAAATATAAGTGACTTAAAACTGAAAGTATACTTGGTAACATTTTACCAAGTAAAAGAAATTTGTATTAATGAATGCAGTATTAGAGTTGTGGGTCTAAACTTTTTTAATGACGGCCTTTTACCAAGATTATGTTGCTAAGGTTCTATGTTGTTCTGACTTGATTAATGCTTCCTAAATTTAGTTATAAACCTAGGACTCTGAATTAGTGTCAATAATTAAAACTTTCATCAGCTGATACTGGAATTTCCAACAGTATTTTACTCATTCTATCCAGTGTTGAGTTAAAGTCTGGAAAGTGGTGATTCTACCAAGTAACCCATTAAAATCCAGATAAATATCAGATAGTTCAAAATTCCTATGCCTATCATCATCACTTCTCTAATTTTCAATTTCAAATTTCTTAGACAGCCTTTATCTTTTTATCAGTCACAAACTATTTGAGTTACACAACTACTCTCGAGTAATGAGAGTGAAAGTAAGATGGAAGTGCGTGTCTGACTTCTGACTTTCCTTTCTGTTTCTATGGCTGGGAATTTCACCAGCATTGGTGAATTGAGGGTGGGAATTTCACCAGCAGTCAAAGGTCAGCAGAGGGAACTTTTAGTAAATGTTACCGCACAATCCTAATAGTAGGCTGAAAAGATTTTTAGTTCAAAAAAGTTGACTACTGGAAATTTCATATAGCTCAACCTATGTCAATACCTTTAAGAAAAACTTGAGAACACTGCATTAAGAAAAACTTTTGTTCCTTTTGAGACTCTAGATTCCCTGTCAAGGCTTCTCTCCTAAACTGTCCCAATGAGGGAGCTTATGCTAATTATTCTTTTCAGAATCAGAATTTAAGCATGTTTGCAATAAAATGCCAAAGTCATAAGCAAAACCAAGAAATGTCTTAACAGCAGCCAACTAAAGAATAAATATCAGAATTATTCCACTGTAACTCAATTCCTGTCAAAGTCAGGTTTCTCGTCACAGAGCAATTAAGTTTTTGTGCCAACAACCAGAGCAGTGCTTCTTGCACCTCCATTAAAGTCCTATTTTGAGAGCATCTTACCTGAAACTGCCGTAGACTATAAGCAGAATGGAAATCAGGAATGTAGACACTTGACTGGAATCCACCAGGGAATAGGCCCTAGAGAAAAAAAGAGAAAAAAAATTAAATCCCATGGCAGCAAGTCCTCATGGAGTTCACAGTTTAATGGGGTTCTACAAATTCCATTAAGTGTTGGAGAAAAAGGGAATAAATAAGCATTAACAAAATAAGCAAAATGGGATTTGTTAGTTTAACAAAGGGTCAATGTGTAGATTTCAGTTAATATCACAAGATGTTAAGTGATATCAATGTACAAATTCCATCTCTCTATAGTATGAAATATATGCTTACAACAATCACTCACAATGAAAAAAAACAACAAACCAGTATCAAAATAACCAACAACTCTTTACCAGTGGTGAAAAAGTCTCAGGGACCAAACTTTATCAGCCTACTTAATTATCAACAGCATTTTACTCTGCGATGAGGTAAAGCCTGTATGTCTTTCCTGAGTTCCATTTCCATTTTTATAACTGCCCACTGGTTTTCTCCATCTGGGTGTCCTATAGGAACTCTCCCTGCTTTATTCCTATTTTCTTTAAATATCTACAGAGTATACTATTGTGTGGATATACCAGTTTGTTTTAAACAAATCTCTCAGGTGGACACTACGGCTGCTTCCAAAAATTCATTTATAAACAATTCTACAAGAGCCCTGTAACTTACTTGCAATGACACATCTGTGTAGCACAAAGTTTCTAAAAAGAGACTGTCAAAGGGGAAAGGCACTAGCAATCTGATAGCCAAACTACCTCTGGAGAAGCTGTTTCATGTTACATGCATACCAGTAACGGATTCTAGAATTCGGTTTTCCAAAGCTTTGTCAACAGTGAGTGTTGCCTAATCTTTGAATTTTTACCAACCTGACAGATGAAAATTGGTAAGTCAATAGCTTTCATTTACATTAAATTTTTTTTTAAATGTTGGCATCTGTTTTTAATTTTTTTTTAAGATTTATTTATTTATTTATACAAGCACTGGGTACAGTCAGAAGTGCCAGAGGGTGAGAGAATTCACCAAAGTCAGAGCGGGGAGCAGAGCAGGCAGAAGGACCAAAGTACACTGCTGAGGGGAGCAGCGGGCGGCAGGAGAGGTCTGCGCGCCATGTGGGACCCTCCTCCGGTGGCCGGGGAGTAGCCGGGGATCAAACCGGCGCTGCAGAGGCTGCGGGCAGCTTCGCAACCCAGCGCTCAACCGCTGCGCCACTGGGGAGGCCCCTACATTTAATTTTTTAAAAGATTTATTTATTTATTTATTTATTTATTTATTTATTTATTTATTTATTTATTTATTTATTTATTTATTTATTTATACAAGAACTGGGGTATAGGCCAGATGCATGGGAGGGTGAGAGGATTCACCACAGACATAGCGGGGAGCAGAACAGGCAGACTAATAAAATACACTGCTGAGGGGAGCAGCGGGGGAGGCAGGAGAGGTCTGCTGAGACATGTGGGACCCTCACCGGCCGGCCGGGATTGAACTGGCGCTGCAGAGGCTGCAGATAGCTTCACAGCGCGGTGCTCAACCGCCTGTGCCACCAGGGGAGGCCCTACATTAATTTTTTGACTTAATAAAAATCTTCAATTAGAAGTGTGATTGAGCAGCCTTTTGTATGATTAAGCCCCTACCCCCAAATCCAAAGCTATGAAAAACAAAGACAGGGTTTTGTTTTTTATTTTTTTAAAATAAATTTTATTTTTATATTCCCCATACAATTGCAACCCCCCCATTTTGACCCCAATCCCTCCCCTCCCACCCCTCACCCCCCAAAAAGTGTCTCTGGTTCATAGTTGTTTGTTGATTTTGATTTTCACTTTCTTATAGTTATTCATTTTCCTGGTCCCTTATTTAAGTTTTCTAGATTTCTGCTATGAGTGAGACCATCCGGTATTTTTCTTTTTCTTTCTGGCTTATTTCGCTGAGCATGATCCCTTCCAGCGCCATCCATGTTGCTGCAAATTGCATGTGTTTATCTTTTTTGAATGCTGAGTAATATTCCATGGTGTATATGTACCACATCTTCTTGATCCAGTCATCTATTTTTGGGCATTTGGGCTGTTTCCAAAGCTTAGCTATTGTAAACAGTGCTGCTATAAACATAGGGGTGCAGGTGTTCTTTGGAATTGATGTTTCTGTGTCCTTTGGGTAAATACCTAGGAGTGGAATTGCAGGGTTTTGTTTTTTAAAAGAACTTTTCCTTGATAGTGTTTTATTATGACGACTTGACTTTTTTGTTCCCCTTGTATTCTGAAGCACACTGTCATTACCTAAAAGGTTGATTAATCATCTGAACTTTCCAAACTCAACATCTTACAAAGAGGGGCTTTATCCTATACAAAATACTTTATGAGGAAGCTGAGCAGGGCTACCAATTTTCATCTCCATACCTTACAGAAATTGGCCCCACTACAGAATTAAATGCATAGAGTCAGAAAAAAGTTATATTTAATGATTTTTTTTCTAAGCAGGATATTGGGTTGTTGGAAAAATCACTTTTTTAAAAGATTTTTTAAAAAGATTTGTTTGTTTATGCATACAAGAGCTCCCCAGAGGTGAGGGGATTCACCAGAGACAGCAGGGGAACAGAACAGGCAGACTGGCTGAAACCACTGCTGAGGAGAGTAGCAGGTGACACAGGGAAGGTGTGCTGTGCCATGTGGGTTGAGTAGCTCTCTGGTCGGCAGGGGATTGAACTGATGTAGAGGCTGCAGACAGCTTCACAGTGCTGTGCTTAACCCCTTGTGCCACCAGGGAGGCCCATCATGACACATTTTTGCTTGAAAAATACAGAAAAAAAATGATTCATGACTTTTCTGACAAGCCAATCATTTAATTTTTTTTAAGCGCCATTACTGTTTTTTTTTTTTTTTAAAGATTTATTTATACATACAAGAACCGAGGTACAGGCTAGAAGTATGGGGGGGGGGTGAGAGGATTCACCAGAGACAGAGTGGGGAACAGAATAGGCAGACTGACTGAAGTACACTGCTGAGGGGAGCAGCAGGCAAGTCAGGGGAGGTCTGCTGAGCCAGGTGGGTCACCTCCCTGGCCAGGAATTGAACTCGTGCTGCAGTGGCTACAGATAGCTTCACAGGTTTTGTCTTAACCCCTTGCGCCACCAACGAGGCCCCCAATCATTTTATTTTTCCAATAAATCTATACCAGAGGATCTGGTTAAAGCTGACTCCTAATATGGTATTTTGGTTCATAGTGTTTTGTAATTTATAATAAAACTTTAAAAGAAGTTTATAAGCATTGCAAACTATACCAAATATTACATAATTGGAGCTTACAAATTATGGTGTTATTTGAAATTTCATGTATTTTCAATTCAAACTAACATTGCTGAATTTTATAAAAAGCCTTTTAATAAAGAGTTTACTACAGTTTTCCTAGTTTTTTGGTAGGTTATGGTATGATTTGGGCCTAGAACACGATTATCCCTAATTTATGTGAAAAAATTTCAAATGTCCCCACATGCCTGCAAAACCAAATCATACCAAAGAGGAAACACTCTACTTGTGGACAATGAAGGACACCTGTACAAAATATTGAACATGGATTAACTTTAGGCAATTTACATTTTAAAATCTTATCAATTTTCCTCTCAAAAAATTACAAAGATAACTTTGTAAAAATTAAAAAAAAGGGGCAAGTATATAAAGTATAAGTATACAAGCGTCTTTCACTCCTCTGCACATCCCAACCCCAGGAGCAGACACTATTTATACTATTTATCCTTCCATGTAAATTGTGTTTCTGTAAAATTGGAAATATACATATTCTTCTATAACTTGCTCTTTTTAAACTCAACTATGGATGAGTTTTAAAGGATGTCATTCTTTTCTATTAACTTTCTGTCCTTTTGCTATAAAATTAAGACATGGAAAACTTTCTAATACATATATCTTTTTTTTATAAAGAGGACATTCTAAGTCCAATGAACACAACTTTATAACTACGTAAACAGGTCTAAAAATTCTCATCTGAGTTATTAGCAGCAGTATCTATAAATGTTTCATATTTTTTTCCTTTCACTTAGCTTTCTGAATTTGGATGGTAGATTGTTATTTCTCGTGAGAAACAAATGGATGACTTTGCTCATACCTCTCTTTTTAGCCAATTTAAGAACTAGTGACGATGGAAACATTTTGATTGCCTTTTTTACTGAACGCATACCATGGAATCCCACATGTAAAGATATTGAATGGCCACTTCAGGATAATGAACATTCACATCTCCTGTGAATATAGCTTTGGGAAGAACTTGGGAGATGCACTCTAAAACAACAACTACTTAGCTTAGAGGAATTATAAAACACTGACATTGTGCAAAATAGTTTAAATGTGTATAGGAAGCATTTTTGGAAAATAATCTTTGCTTAACAAATGTGACCATGTCAGCACATCTTGCTACAAATACTGAATGTAGCAGAACATTCTGCTATCCTAAAATAACTTTATAACAAAGTTTTCCCTTGTCCCAGGGAATTTTCTGTCACTTAAATTCTCTAGTTTAGGGACTTCTTGGCATACATGCACTGTATTTTATGAATCATTTAAGCTGATTTCTTTAGAGATTGATTGTATCAAGTTCAAATAGAAATATGTGCATTTTACTATTAAGACAGCACTTGGGCCTACTACAGAAAGGAAGCAGTGGCTCTTCTAACCATTCACCCTGGGAGAAGCAGCTCCAGTTTCTATCTTAAATTATACCTTAACTAGCTATTTCACCTTCTCTGGCAAGCCTTTACATCCTTCTGGTCTCTATAAAATCCTCTTTGGCCTAGATTAACCTGAAGACCCAAGTAATTTCTATTTTCAAGATTTTTGCATTGTGTGTTTCCTAACAAAAATCAACAACACAGTAATATTACCAGAAATAGGCTTTCACAAATAACTCAATTGGCTGATCATCGACATACTACAGTTAAATAAACCAGCACTGACAGATGACACTGTCTCTAGGCTACTGAAAAAAGGGATATTAGTTTTCTTCTTTTAATCATCCAGCATTTCAGATTTGAAATGTCT